TTACGTGGTTCACTAACACGATGTGTGTTAGCTAGTCCACGGGCGAGAGAGAGCCAGTTTCACTATATCGAGGAGATTACAGATTACAGAGTATGAGAGGTATTTATAGTACTTCTCCATGTGGGTCTAAACCTAATCCAATCTGGCAAAGGAAACGTCTACAGACCAGGCCCAGAACCCGAACCCAAATAACATTGAGCCCACACCGTGAGACCCCCCGATTACCAGTCGTAGCGGCTGATAGTCCGATTCAAGTCACATCAACAAATCTCCACCTTGACTTGAATCCTCTTCCTCTGAAATCTCTGATGTACTCTGCTCCTTCTCTCTCTCGCGCCATCAATGCCCCGTAGGACAGAGTCACCCACTCAAGACATTCAGCAAGTCCAAGCAATGTTGGAACTTGTCATGTGGAACCGGCTTCGTGAACATATCAGCAGGATTATCCGCGGTGCCAACCTTCTTCACCTTAATCCTCTTCTCTGTCCTCAAGAAATGATACCTCATGTCGATGTGCTTAGTCCTCTCATGGTGGACTTGATCCTTTGCCAAGCATATTGCACTCAAACTGTCGCAATACACCACTGCCTGATCATGATGTAGACCAAGATCACCAACCAGTCCCTTCAATCATATTCCCTCCTTAGCAGCTTCTGTCAGCGCCATATACTCTGCCTCAGTAGTAGACAATGTCACCGCCGACTGCAGAGTTACCTTCCAGCTCACTACAAAACTCCCAAGCGTGAATACATAACCGGTCATCGATCTCCTCGTGTCAACATCTCCAGCATAGTCCGAGTCAGAATACCCAGACACCAAACACTCTGTATCACTTTCGAAGCTAATCCCCACATCAGGTGTACCCTTAAGGTACCGGAAGATCCTCTTCACAGCATGCCAATGCTCCTTCCCAGGTTGTATCATAAACCTGCTGACAACACTAACAGCATGTGCAAGATCAGGTCTAGTGCATACCATAGCGTACATCAAGCTACCTACTACACTAGCATATGGGACTCTCGACATGTACTCCTTCTCAGCCTCTGACTGCGATAACATAAGCTGAGGATAGATTAACATTTGAAGCACTAGGAGTATTTAAGGGCTTTGCTGAAGACATGCCAAACCTCGACAGTATCTTCTAGATGTAGCTCTTCTGTGACAAGAAAAGCTTCTTCTTCGACCTGTCTCTGTAAATCTCCATACCCAAGATCTTATGAGCAGCTCCCAAATCCTTCATCTCAAACTCAGCACTAAGAAGTCCCTTTAACTTCTAGATATCAGACTTTGACCTCGCAGCTATGAGCATATCATCCACATACAGAACAAGATAGATCATCAAACCATCCTCCACCTTGTTGTGATATACACAACAATCATATGGACTTCTGTTGTAGCCCAGCTCATGCATGTAACTGTCAAATCTCTTGTACCACTGCCTCGGAGATTGCTTAAGTCCATACAAGGACTTCTTCAACTTACAAACATAGTCTTCTTTTCCCGGAACCTCGAATCCTTCTGGCTGAGTCGTGTAAATTTCTTCCTCCAACTCTCCATGTAGGAAAGCTGTCTTCACATCTAGCTGCTCGAGCTCCAAGTCATAATGTGCCACTATTGCTAGTAGCACTCTGATCGAAGTATGTCTGACCACTGGTGAGAAAATCTCATTGTAGTCAACTCCTTCCCTCTGCGAGAAGCATCGTGCAACCACCCGAGCTTTAAATTTCATGCCCTCTTTAGAAGTGATTCCTTCCTTCTTCTTGTAGATCCACTTGTTTGTCACAATCTTCATTCCCTGTGGTCGTTTGACTAGCTCCCAAAGTTTGATTCCTGTCATGGGATTCCTCTCATCTCCCATTGCGGCAAGCCACTGATCAGCTTCACCACCCGAAACTGCTTCTCTATAGGACTGTGCCTCTCCTGCATCCACTTCCTCAGCAACCTGAAATGAATACGCCACCATGTCCTCGAAGCCATACCTCTGTAGAGGTACTCCTACAGTCGCTCTCTTTGTTCTACCAGAATCAATAGATTGTTTAGCTCGTGCACTAGACTCTGAAGTTTCTGGCTCTGCAGAGACATCCTCATCATGTTGATCTTCTCCACCTTGGTGCTCAAACTCACTCTCATTGAGAGTTTGCAGCTCCACCTGCTTATCAACATTCCTACTACCTTCAACAACAGTAACCTTCAACATGGGGTTAAACATAGACTTCTCATCAAATATCACATTTATGCTGAGTATAACCCGATGCTCAGAAGGTGACCAGACTCGAAATCCCTTAACTCCATCTCCGTAACCCACAAGCACACCCTTCTTTGTCCTTGGGTTGAGTTTACCCTCATCCACATGATAATAAACAGGACACCCAAAAACTTTCAGTGAAGAGTAATCAGCAGGCTTACCATACCACACCTCATAAGGAGTCTTCAACTCGATACCTGTGTGAGGTCCACGGTTGATCAGGAAGCACGCCATGTTCACTGCTTCTGCCCAGAATCTTCTCTCTAGTCCTGCATTAGAGAGCATGCACCGTGCTCTCTCCAACAATGCCTGGTTCATCCTTTCTGCAACGCCATTCTGCTGGGGTGTATCTCTAACAGTCCGATGATGGGCAATCCCTTCATCCTTGCAGAATTCGTTGAACTCAGAATTGCATAACTCCAGACCATTGTCCGTTCGCAACTTCTTGATCTTCTTCCCGGTCTGATTCTCCACCAATGTCTTCCACTGCTTGAACATCGTGAAAGCCTCACTTTTCTGCTTCATCATGAAAATCCAAGTAAATCTCGAATAATCATCAATAATAGACAGAAAATACATGATGCCTCCAATGGATTCAACTCATGAAGGACCCCAACAGTCGGAGTGGAGGTAATCCAGTATCCCCTTCGTCCGGTGGATACCCTTCTTGGGAAACTTGCTGCGATGTAGCTTCTCAAACACACAATGCTCGCAGAATTCCAAATTCTGCACCTTGTGCCCCCAAAGAAGATCCCTCTTTGACAGAACTTGCATCCCTCGTTCACTCATATGCCCCAGTCTCATGTGCCAGATAGTGGTCATATCTTCCTGATGAACCTGAGACGATGCAACTGCAGCAGAACCAGACAACACAGACCCTTGTAATGCATACAAGGTCCCACGCTTCTCGCCCTTCAGTACTTCCTCGAACCCTTGCAGACATACACAACTCCACCTTTTCCTTTGAAGCTGAAGCTGAAGCCCTTGTTGTTGAGTAGACTCAAGGAGATCAGGTTCTTTGTCATTCGTGGAACATGCCTGACATCATTCACGGTACAGAACGAACCATCATGTGTCCGAACCTTTATGGACCCGATTCCAACAACCTTGCAGACAGCTCCATTTGCCATGACCACGTTACCACCATCTATCTGCTCGTAGGTTGTGAAGCAATCCCTGTTTGGAGACATATGGTATGAAGCTGCAGCATCCAGAAACCACACATCCCCACGATGTGCCTTCTCATATACAGCCAAGGCGAGATCGTCTTCAGAACTGTTGTCCACTTCTGCCACGGCAACTGAACCTTGTTTCTTCTGTTGCCCTCTTCTCTTGGGACAGTTGTACTTCCAATGCCCCACTTCCTTACAGTTGTGACAAGCATCACCTGGCTGTGGACCGGGACCCTTGGAATTCTTGTTCGAATTCCCTTTACCAAATTTCTTCTTTCCCTTTCCACCTGTAACAGCCAAACCCGATGCCTCACCACCTGTACCAGAACCAGACGCCTTATGCCTGATCTCTCTTGTATGAAGAGCAGACCTGACATCCTCCAACGACATGCTTTCTTTTCCAGCAATAAAAGAATCAACAAAATTCTCATATGAACTCGGCAAAGAAACCAGCAGGATTAGGGCAGCATCCTCGACATCAACTTGAACATCTATATTACGCAGATCCAGCAAAATAGAGTTAAGCTGCTTGAGATGTTCCCTCAAAGGCGTACCTTCTTGCATCCTCAAGCTGAACAACCGTTGCTTGAGATGCAGCTTGTTGGTTAGAGACTTAGTCATGTACAAACTCTCTAGTTTCAACCACAAGCCCGCGACAGTCTTCTCAGCAGCGACTTCAATGATGACGTCCTCAGACAACGATAGCATGATGGTCGAGTGGGCCTTCTCCTCCAGGGTATTCCACTCATCGTCATCGACCGCTGCCTTCTTCTGTTTCACAGATAGCGGCCCCCACAGCCCTTGTTGTTTTAATAAAGCCTGCATCTTGATCTGCCATATAGCAAAGTTGTTCTTCCCCGTGAACTTTTCGATCTTCATGTTCACCGACGTCATTCTTCTGAATCAAAAACCCTAGCCTAATTTCCAACCAGGCTCTGATACCACTTGTTATAAACGCGCTGCTACGGATCGGGAAATCGCCGGAATCGACAAAGCAAGAATACGAAAGCGAGAATCGAAAAACACCGACACACGATTTACGTGGTTCACTAACACGAGGTGTGTTAGCTAGTCCACGGGCAAGAGAGAGCCAGTTTCACTATATCGAGGAGATTACAGATTACAAAGGAGTATGAGAAGTATTTACAGTACTTCCCCATGTGGGTCTAAACCTAATCCAATCTGGCAAAGGAAATGGTTACAGACCAGGACCAGAACCCGAACCCAAATAACATTGAGCCCATACACCGTGAGACCCCCGATTACCAGTCGTAGCGGCTGATAGTCCGATTCAAGTCACATCAACACCTTCCATGTGAGAACCTAATAATTTCCATTTATTCGAATGCTTATGAACTTTCTCTTGTATTTGCAGGATCGTCACACCACAGGCTGCCCATGAATTCACTGCCATTTTCAAAAGGAGCATCACTGGACCATGGATAACGTTCTCAGAGTACTCCGCTTCTGCTTTACAGACCTTGATTGCTCGTTTCAAGGAATCTGGATTCACATGCTCTCTTTCAGAGGAAGAACTCAATGGTCATCTCAAGGAACATATCACGAGGAACTTTTCCTAGTGGATGTATGGGTTCCGCAACCGAGTATTCTCTAAACATGCTACCCTTGCTGAAAGGCTTAACAATCCACCTACTGAAATCCCTGCTCATATTTGGAGGGATATGGTTAGCAAGTGGAGTGACCCAAACTGGAAGGTAATTTACTGTTGTTCGTACTTGTGTACTATGATGATTTTGGTTTGAATCTAATTTGTATTCTCTTTACAATTCCGCAGAGCACCAGTGATAAGAACAAGACCAATCGTGAGAAGTTTGAGCTCACTACTACTGGTGGATCTGTTCCCATGGCAAAGTTTAGGCGTGATAAGGTAACTCATATGTCCCTTGTATTTATTAAAAACTAGAACAAGTCTGTAGTTAGATAGTAATTAGTGGGGTGATTAAGATGACTGGGAGAGAACCAATCGAATAGAGGGTGAACAAGTCTAACAAGAGTGGCCTTTCTTTGTTGTTGTTTACTACTCGCTCTGTTGTCCCTCTTTTTGTTTTGTTTCTTGCTTCTTACTTTCCTCTTCTCAGCGTTTCCTTTCTGTTCCCATTCGCTACTGCACATGTCCTATTTTTCATGTGTTTGCATATCAAGAAGACGGGGAGAGAGCCCGATCTAATAGAGACATTTAAGAAGTTTCATGTGAAGAAGGGCAATGGTGAATTCACCACCCCAAAAGCTCAGACCATACATGTAAGTACATTGCTTGTTAAGTAATTTTTTCTTTCTTCTGTGTTTTTTAAAACATCAACTCACTATCTTAGTTATTAAATACTTTGTGTGTAGGCTAAATTGAAGAATAAGGAAGCTGAGAAGTTGAGCCAAGGGGAAGAGGTGAACCAGTTTGCCATTTATGGTGAGATTGTAGGAAATCAGCCTAGGAAACATGTGCTGGGAATGGGTGCAGGGGTAAGTGGTGTGGATGTGTTTGCCCTACCTCCGGTCAGGGCTACAACAAAAGGTGCGAAGAGGACCGAAGGCAAGAGAAGGAGAAAAATGACGAGACGATAAGAATGTTGAAAGAAGAGATAGTGCAGGTGAAGAATGGGATTCCTCAGATTGTAGAGGACACATTGAAGAGGCTTGGACTTACTTTGCCAGAGTCCTCAAGTGTAAGTGTTTGTTGCTATTTTTGAGTTGGTTGAGCATGATTAATGGTCTGCACATTATAATGATCTATTTAACTTTGTAATTTAGGCTGGAGACAAGTGAGTGATGAAGATGAGGCTGGAAACAATGAATTGAATGATGAAGATGAGGATGGTACTGATGATGAGACAAGCTCCCCCTGATGATGATGATTACCAAGGAAGTTTTGCCAAGGAAGTTTGCAGCAGTAGGGAGAAGGCAGCAGTAGGAACTTTGCAAGTTCCATTTTTCTTTCGGATTATGTTCTGTTATGTGTTTGGTTTTTTGTTAAGAAATGTTTGAACAAGTGTTGAAGGTGGTTTTTGCACGTTTATGTGCGTGTAAGAAAATTTCGGTGGTTAGGCCACCTATTTCTATGTAGAAGTTCTTTTTTGATAATATATTGCATTCAATAATTTCTTTTGCGTATTTAATAAATTACCTGCAAAATATAATATATTATTATTTGCAGTTGTCATCACAAATAATATATAGCAAAAATATTTAAAATTTCATAAATATTATATTTTTAACGGTATAATTTGGTTACACTATTGACAATTTTGGTTAGAATTGATAAGTTGCTTACCATGAATATTCTCTGTTGCAAATATTCTATTTTTAACCCAAAAAATTTGTTAGATTCAATAAGTTGCTTCCAACGAATATTTTGGGTTACAAATATTCTATTTTTAACGCAACAATTAGGCTAGATTTAATAATTTCTTTCGACTAATATTTTGTGTTCTAACTATTCTATTTTCAACGCAACAATTAGGTAAGATTTAATAAGTTTCCTACTACAAATATTTTTGTGTTACAAATATTATATTTTTAACGCTTCAATTTGGTTACATGAACACAAAATTTGGTCTAATTAATAATTTGCTTGCCACGAATAGTTTGCGTTACAAGTATTCAATATTTTCTTCTAACCTTATTATCTCGTTGAAAACTAAAAATACAATTATAACGAGAAGTATTTCGTGATGCAAAAACATCATTATAAATACCACAAGGGTGTTTTGGGAGCATAGTTTCCTCTCGTAAAAGATGTCCTTCTCTGACCAGCCACTACGGTCAAAAAATATAAAGGGTATTTTCGGGAAAAGGTGTAATCTTTTATTAACGAGTAGTTTCTTTTCTTACAATCATTTTTACCTCATATATAGTTTAAGTAACAAATTGTTCTCCTCACAAATAATATTTCTCCCCTTACAAAATGATTTGGTCAAAGGTTTCGTTAAGTAAATTTCTTTTCTGATCGCGATATTTTGCATAACGACAAAAAAATAGTTGTCACAAATGTATGATTTTCTGACGCAAGTACATTTAAACTATTAGCGAGGGACCTTTACCCCACGACTCACCAACGATCGTATTTCGTCAAAATAACCCTATTGTGATGAGAAAAGGCCTTTAGTGACGCCAATCGTCTGGTAACATCTGCCAGTCTTTTTTGTAGTGATCAGCATAGCTCTTTTGTCGGTCTTGAATGGCCTTTAATCGGTCACGAATGGTCTTGAATTTATCCACCGTGATTTGCACAATTTCTGGCCCTTCCAACTGTCTTAACCCTTCTTGGTCCCAACACACCGGGGACCTTCATTTTCTCCCATATAAAGCCTCATATGGAGCCATGCCTATACTGCTTTGATACTCATTATTATAGGAAAATTCCATAAGTGGAAAATGTTCATCCCAAGATCCAATAGAAATCCATTACACATGCCCGTAACATCTCCTCGAGAGTGAGGATAGTTTGCTCGGATTGAACAACGATCTGAGTATGAAATGCAGTAGACAAATTTAGTTGGGTACCTAGAGCTTCCTGAAGGCTTCTCCGAAACCGAGAAGTGAATCGGAGATCTCTATCTGATACAATTGACACGGGTATCCCATGTAGTCTTACAATCTCCGCATATTTTTTTTTTTTTTTTGATAATGTTGATATAGATTAAATAATAAACGTAAAGTTACAAAGAAGGAATGGAAAAGAAACCCTGCACAAGGAAAGCCAAACATACAACGGACGAGAGCAAAACTGCAGCAAAGAAAAAACCAGAAGGCAGCCGGCAAAATGTACAGGCTACAAACGAACACGAGGGAACAGGGACCGAGCAAAAGCAATGTCACTGGAATCCCGTCAATGAAAACTGATCAGAACCCTCATCACCAGCCGCACGGGAGCTCGGGAAGAGCCGGTCCTTGGCCAAGCACCTACACTGGTCAGCAACGGCTCTGTCAACCCTGCTCGAGGCGCAAAGCCAGTCATGAATGCTGCAAATGATTCTAAAGCAAGTTCCTCGCACCGAACAGTAATCATCTCTAAAGATCCGAGCATTCCTCTCCAGCCAAATCCGCCAACAAAAAGCGTGTAAGAAAACGTTCGAGCACCACTCCTTCGGATTGGAGGCATCACTGCAGCGCCATGATCTGATGGTATTGACAATGTCTTGGGACTGTTCTTGAATCGGAACAAAGGTGCTCATCCCCTTCCACACTTCACGTAAAAATATGCGAATATGCCAGTGATTCCAGTGATCAACCCCATTTAATGGGTATAAAGTGAGCGACTTATTTAGTCGATCCACAACCACCCACATCGCATCATTCCTTCTTTGGGTTTTAGGCAAACCATAGACAAAATCCATGGTGACCTTCTCCCATTTCCATTCTGGAATGGATAGCGGTTGCAAATTCCCGGCTGGGGCTTGATGCTCAGCTTTCACTTTCTGACATACCAAACATGTCAACACGTGATCAACCACATCTTTCTTCATTCGGGGCCACCAATAATGGGGTCTCAATGAGAGGTACATCTTTTTCGTTCCTGGATGCATTGCATAAGAGGCATAATGAGCTTCCTCAAGAATCTCTCTACGCAATTCATCCACATTAGGAACACAAAGTCTTCTCGTTCAATTTTAGAGTTCCATCTTGATATGAGAATTTACTCTCCTTGCCCTGTTTGATCCCATCAATTAATTTCTTCAGATTTGGATCTTGTTCCTAAACTTTTACTATCCGCTCTCGGAGGATCGGCCTCACTTACAAGGTAGCCATCAGTCCTCTTCCACCATTCAGTTCTGGTGCTACATTCATGGCTCTCAAAGCAAAAATGTTAGCCATGGAATAAATTTCACAATCAGCACTTGAATGCTTAGCCTTGCAGCTTAAAGCACCAGCTACAACATTAGCCTTGTAGGGATGATATTCGATGGTATAGTCATAGTCTTTCAATAACTCTAACCATCTTCTTTGCCTCATATTCAGTTCCTTTTGCTCCATAAGATATTTCAGACTTTTATGATCAGTAAAGATCTAAAAAGTCTCCCCATATAGATAATTTCTCCAAATTTTAAGGGCAAACACCACAGCAGCCAATTCCAAACCATGAGTAGGGTAGGATTTCATATGGTCGTTATTGCCTAGAAGCATAGGCAATCACTTTACCATGTTGCATTAAAACACATCCTAACCCTTGATACGAAGCATCACTGTAGACCAGATACCCTTCATTTCCAGAGGGTAGAGATAGAACAGGGGATGTGGTCAACTTATGCTTCAATTCCTCAAAACTGAATTGACATTTTGAATCCCATATGAAAGGCTGTTCTTTTCTCAGTAATCTGGTCAACGAGGTAGCTATGAGGGAAAAACCCTCGATAAATCATTGGTAGTATCCGGCCATGCCTAGAAAACTACGCAATTTTGATACATTCTTCGGTGGCTCCCATTTAACGACAGCTTCAACTTTCATCGGGTCCACCTTAATACCCTTTTCTGACACCACATGCCCCAGAAATATCACTTGATCCATCCAAAAATCACACTTACTAAATTTTGCATACAATTGCTTTTCCCTTAAAACTTGCAAAACTACCTTCATATGCTCGATATGTTCTTCTTTGCTTCTGGAGTACACTACGATTTCATCTATGAAAACAATCACAAATTTATCCAGGTACTCCTGAAACACTTTATTCATTAAGGCCATGAACACTGCTGGAGCATTGGTTAGTCCAAAACGCATAACCAAAAATTCATAGTGTCCATCCCTGGTGCGGAAAGTAGTCTTGGGTATGGACTCTTCTACTAACTTCAGCTGATGATAACCAGATCGCAAGTCAATCTTAGAAAATACCTTAGATCCTTGCAATTGATCAAATAAATCATCAATCCGAGGTAGCGGATACTTGTTTTTCACTGTCACCTTATTGAGTTCCATCCTTCTTCCTCACAAATAGCAATGGAGCTCCCCAAGGTGAGACACTCGGTCTAATAAACCCTTTATCGAGCAACTCTTGAAGTTTCTCTTTCAGCTCTTTGAGCTTGACACACTTGTACTGTCACATTAGAGAGTGACCAAGTATAACCACCTACTAATGAGTAGTATAGCGAGTTTCGATTTAAATGTCAACCCGGGTCCTAGGTGTGATGACTACTCCATGAAATTCTTATTATTTAGCGGTTCAAGTGTAGTGAAGGTTTAACTAAACTAGCAAGCAAAAGCAGTAAAGGTTGTGTTCCAAGTTTGAGAGAGGTCACCCAGATATGGTTCCCCCTAGACTGCAGTTAAGCCAAGTTGTAATTCGCCAAGTTCAAATTCAATGATAATAATACTGCGGGAGGTTCTTAGAAAGTCTGCAGTCTTGACTAAAGGTCTCCAGACCCTCTCAATCTGAGTCCCCAATGGGCGACTAACCTTCACCAGAGTAAACAAACTGAGGCCCTAACATACCAAACCTCCTCTACTGGAGTAAATCCAGTACATAATAGTGAATTGACTCCTCGGTTAAAGTCTTCAATTCACTATCTTCAATTAAGGGTGCTTTATCAACCTAGGCAGATATTCTCTTTCTAGGTCAAAGCAGGAACAACAGGAATTCGATCAGGATTCATGCAATTCAGAAAACCATCCCTCAATTGAATATAATCGATATCAAAGAACTTGTACTAAGGTTCATACAACCAGACCTAACATACAAATCTAGAATTCTTCATACTCAGGTGAGTGAGAGAGTTTACTCCATAGAGAGAGAAGATAAATCTGGTTAAGATGCAGAAATCATTCTGTGAAGGATGAGAATCTGCTTCTGGTAGTCAATCGGCACTTCTCCAAGCTTCAACTAAGCTCCAATAGTAATGAAGATCGATCTAGGGCGCTTGGAGGTTCTGGTTCGTCACTTTCGCTCTCTAGGTATCTGCTTTCTTTCTCTAAAAATCGGATCCCTCTCAAAAGTGGCCTTCTTTTCCCTCAAAAAGGGGCAGATCGCGATACCCGACCATAATACCTGGTCGGGTATTTCAGGTGATCGGTCGGGTATTTTCAAAACGACGCGCAACGGGACAGGGGAAATACCTAATCGAGGTTCCGAACACCCGATCTCGTATTTAAGCGCCACGGCCGGGTCCCCTTCTGATCTCCTGGCGTCCAAAGCAACATTACCCGGTCGGGTATTTCAGGGGCCGACCGGGTATTTTCACCTTCCAGCTCCTTTTGCTCCAACTCTCCTTTTTTAACCCGAAACTCGTTTCCACGCCTCCATGTCCACGCTAAGTCTTGAAATATGACATAAACGCACAACTTAGCGTGAAATCGGCTTAAAACACGAGAATCAACTCTTAAACGCTTCAAGAATGGTGGTTTAAACATGTGCAAATAATGCTCTATCAAATGCCTCCACACTTAACCGTTTTCTTGTCCCCAAGCAAACCTAACTCAAACCAATGCAGCTCTCCAAACCTCTATAGCAACACGCACCCTCGATCGTCGGTAGAGGATGTCCTAGATCATTTAGCAGCTTACGAGGTCAACCGAAGCACAAGTCATCTCCTAGCTTCTTCGGCGAGAATGCTAGTCTCGATTCGGCATCATGGCAAATAGTGATCAGAGGACAAATGAATCGTGGACGAAGGGACTCTAAAAAACAAAAGATCATTGGCTCACATTTTTAAGGTGCTCTATTTTCTTCTTGAAGATGGTTGGAACCCTTTTTTCTTTTTCTTTTCTTTTTCTTTTTTTCTTTTTTTCCTTTTCAAGGATTCCAACCTATTTTTTCATAAAATGGGGCTCCCACATAGCGAAGGTTTTGTGGGAACCCGACTCTTACAAGCCATGCCGGGAGAAGCTCTTACCGGCCATGCCGGGAGCAGATGTCTCGAGCCTCGTGTGGGGGAAAGGAATGTAAGGGGGCTGGAGGTAGTAGGTGGAAATTGGGAACGAATTCTCGTCTCCCCTTACACACTTTCGCGCTTTTCGCACGGGAGATGTTATTTTGAAGCAAATTTTGAGCACCTTTTTTTCAAAACATGATACAGTAGTACATGACAGGTAGAGAGTCCACAACACTACATAATTCAAGGGTCCTAAGATCATTAATTCACACAATCAACCACCACAATATGAAGAAGAAATGAGACTTCTTAAATGCATCAACATCCTTCATAGTGCTACACTACCTCCCTATGTTGCATATTACTATAGAGTGTCAATTCAAAGCATACTGAGCAGGAAATTGCAAGGAAAACGTGCTTGGAGCCCTCAAATCGAAATTTGGACAGTGGACTAGGCTCCAAGCACAGAAACAGATCTAAGAAGTCACTTAGAAACACCCCCCCCCCACACACACACACACTTAGTTCGACATTGCTCTCATTGGAGAAGAGGGAAAGAGAAGGGGAACGATGTTACCGGTATGATCAGACTGCGGTGGGACTGGAAAGTGGACCACTCGGAGTGAGGATGACTGGAAATGGGACCAGTCGACGCAAAGCACGGGCTAGAGAAACCACAATCACTCAAACACAGATACATTAGGTAAAGTTGTCAGCCCAATAGTACATCATCCAAAGGAAAAAAAAACCAAACCAACACAAAATTCAGTTTGCACTTCGACCCAAAACAAAAGAAAACACAAAAGTGCCAGCGAGTACAGCCTACTCGAGTTGGTCGAAGTTAATCTGCTCCATGACGTCATCAACCCCGTCCGTCGGTGGTGGTGAGTGGTCCCACGGAGTTGTCCAGCGGTGCTCCTGTGGTGGACAGCAGGACGGGAGAAAATGCTCCTGGTACTCCATCATTCGGCGTTTCCGGTCCCGTTCTCGCTCAATATGAGCACTAGTGACTCCCTGCTAAGCCTCCATACGGTCGAGGAGCTCGTCCAGCACGGCCATCCGGGAACTGGACCTAGTGTCCATGAGCTGCTGGTTCTGGAGCCCGAGCTCCTGAAACTGGAGCCCCATCTGGTGGAACTGCTCGGTGAAGATGTCCATCGACGGAACAGAAGGACTGGAGGAGGACAGGTCTCGTTCGGGTCTCCGTCGTGGCTGAAGATCCCCGATGGGAAAGTGGGGGCTCCGGCGTCTCACCATCCATGGTCCCACCACCACCACCATCATCATCATCGGCCTCATCCTTGCCGGTGTAGTCCTCGTTCTGCTCGTCATCGTCATCATCCTCCTCATCCGCGTCCGGGAGCATGGACAACCCATCAACCCATGATCTCCCTCTAGCAGAGGCCAGCAGGAGTGCGTTGTGAAGCACTTCCCGGCTGAGAGGAGAGGAGTCGCCATGTGATATGTCGTCAGTCAACCCCGCCAAGTCGATCTCGACGTGGCGCGCCAGCTTTGTGACCAGGGGACCACAAAATAAGTGGTTGGGTTTTCCGTGGCACCGAGTAAAGGTGGTGGCCACAAAAGACCCCCGGTGCGACATGTGGTCAGGGCGCCCCATCAAGTACATGGTGTAGAGCACCCTCTTCGGCATCTTGTGCGAACCGGTGGTGTTGGGGATGACCGAGCGAGTGAGCAAGAGGTTGAGGATGTGCCACTCGGGGCGGATGGTGGAGACGTACGTCTGGCCGGCCTCGAAGGCTTCCCGTCGGAAATCAGGACGGGTTATGCGACGGTAGAACTCATCCTGATCCCAGTCCCTGGGATGGGGGACCTTGATCTCGTGGCGGGAGTATGGGTGGTAGTGGATTTCCAATGCATGGGCCAGCCCGTCGATGCTCCGCTCTTGCATGCGCCCGCCGAGCCGGAAGGTGACACCGGTGGGGGAGTCACGGGCCGCCTTGGGGCGGTACCGGAATGTGGAATAGAACTCCCACACCAGCTCCGTGAAGGTGGAGTCCTGGATGCTCAAAAGAACCCGCAGTGGCGGCGGCGATCTCGTCCAGGTAGGAGAGAGAAATTGGCGGCCGGGTATTTGCTTATAAAGGAAAAATACTCGTTCGGGTGTTTGAGGACCACAGCTGGGTATTTCGCCCTCAAAGCAAATCATGGTCAGGGGTTCCCGGGTGAGAGGCCAAAATACTCGATTGGGTATTTTGGGTCTCGGTCGGGTATTTCAACGTTTTCGCGCCAAGATCAGAAGGGGTCCCGGCCACGATGCCAAAATACCCGGTCATGTATTTTCCCCTTCTCGGCCAAAATGCGTTTTCTCTCATTTTTCGAACTCCCCTACACGAAGTCACCAAACCAAGGCATACCAGACGACCTAATTTCATCACAGACATGCAACTGACTCGAACACACCACAAAGCAAAGAAAAAAGGGGGGAAAATGCAAACCGTGGTGGGGTTGCCTCCCCACAAGCGCTTCTTTATCGTCTTTTAGCTGGACGCCCATGGTGGATGCTCAGAGCGGTGTAGGAGCAGGTGCCTCCAAGAGTGGATCCACACCACTCTTGAGATACAGCTTCAGATGATGGCCATGCACACACCGGGTGTGACCACCAGCATTTGTCAACTCGACCTGGCCATCCGGTAGGATGCAAGCGAGTGAGTACACGGATGGGCAGGGTGGTCGTAGCTCAGGGGGTGGGACCAGCTCATAGTGGTCACCAACTTTATTTTGAGTAGGTTTAGCAACCTACAGGTTCAGGCGCCACTCCTCTTTGATTTTTTCTCTTGGTAGTGAGACAGACGAGAGTGGCGGCGAAGGACTGAGAGGAGAATCCTGTAAAATGAGAGGCATAGAAGGATACACGACATACTCGTGCACCTGGTGAGAAACAGCATGCACAGGACCCGTCACGGACATCTATGAGGGCCCTGGCGGTGGTTAGGAAGGGCCTTCCTAGTATAAGGAGCACTTCTGCGTCTTCATTGATGTCTAAGACAACAAAATCCACAAGATAAAAGAATCTTTCAACCTTAACCAGGAGGTCCTCCACTATGCCCCTAGGATGAACCACAGATTGGTCACCTAATTGAATACTCATCCTAGTTGCACTGGGTTCACCTAGGCCTAGTTTTTTGAACAATTTGTACGGGATAACATTGATACTAGCACCTAAATCCGCAGGGACCTCTCTACATGCAATTTCCCAATGGAGCACGGGATAGTAAAATTACCTGGGTCCTTCTACTTCTCTGGCAGCTTGTTCTTCAGAATGGCCGAGCACTCCTCGCTCAGCATCACTGTCGAGAGATCCCCAAGTTGCTTTTTTTGTGAGGAGATCCTTCATGAATTTTGCGTACTTGGGCATCTTCGACAGTGCCTCCACGAACGGCATGCTAATGTTGACCTGCTTCAACATTGCCATGAATTTGACAAACTCAGTCTCCAGCTTGTCTTTGTGAATACGAGTGGGGAAAAGAAGCTAAGGAACATGCTCCTTAACCAATGGTTGTGGCTTGGGAGCAGGTGCTTCTTTCTCGATCCCCACCTCTTCATTGTTAGCTGGAAGTGTTGAAGCAGGTGTTGGCTCCGCCTGCCTGGCCAGAGCAGGTACAGCAGATGTCGTCTTGCCACTCCTGGTAGTGATGGCATTCAGGTGCTGGTGAGGCTCGCGAGGATTACGGATGGTGGTGGCAGGCAGAGTTCCCAGTGCCCTGGTATTATTCTAGCGAGCTATGCCTCCAATCTAATTCTGGAGATCCTGCAATATGGCACCCTGGTTACTCTGGCCTGCCTCCAGCGCTATGTTGCACTGGTCCAACCTGGTGAAGTTCGCTTTGAGGCCTAGGTTGATAGAGCACCCTTAATTGAAGATAGTGAATTGACGACTTTAATCGATGAGTCAATTCACTATTATGTACTGGATTTACTCCAGTAGAGGAGGTTTGGTACGTTAGGGCCTCAGTTTGTTTACTCTGGTGGAGGTTAGTCGCCCGCTGGGGACTCAGATTGAGAGGGTCTGGAGACCTTTAGTCAAGACTGTAGACTTTCTAAGAACCTCCCGCAGTATAATTATCATTGAATTTGAACTTGGCGAATTACAACTTGGCTTAACTGCAGTCTAGGGGGAACCATATCTGGGTGACCTCTCTCAACTTTGAACACAACTTCTACTACTTTTGCTTGCTAGTTTAGTTAGACCTACATTACACTTAACCGCTAAATAATAAGAATTCACGGAGTAGTCATCACACCTAGGACCCGGGTTGACATTTAAATTGAAATTCGCTATACTACGCATTAGTAGGTGGTTATACTTGGCCACTCTCCAAGCTTCAACCGAGCTCCAATGGTGATGAAGATCGATCTAGGGCGCTTGGAGGTTTTGGTTCGTCACTTTCTCTCTCTAGGTATCTGCTTTCTTTCTCTAAAAATCGGATCCCACTCAAAAGTGGCCTTCTTTCCCTCAAAAGGGGGCAGATCACGATACCCGACCATAATACCCGGTCGGGTATTTCAGGTGACCGGCCGGGTATTTCAGGTGACCGGCCGAGTATTTTCCAAACGATGCAAACGGGACAGGGGAAATACCTGATCGAGGTTCAGAATACCCGATCAGGTATTTAAGTGCCACGGGCGGGTCCCCTTCTGATCTACTGGCGTCCAAAGCAACATTGTCCGGTCGGGTATTTCAGGGGCAGACCGGGTATTTTCACCTTCCAACTCCTTTCGCTCCAACTCTCCTTTTTTTACCCGAAACTCGTTTCCACGCGTCCACGCCAAGTCCTGAAATATGACATGTGCATATAATGGTCTATCAGAGCTCCATTGGTGTCATCCTATATAGAGGTATTGAAATTGGTGCAGTTCCTAGCAATAGTTAAATGGTGAACTCGATTTCCCGGTCTGGAGGTAACCCGGGTAAATCACAAGGGAAACCATCCAGGAACTCATTTACTACCTCCACATTTTCTAGCTTAAGCTCCGATTTCACTTCCATGACATGAGGCAAATAAACACTACACCCTTCTTTCATCATACTTAGAACAGTGGCAGTCGATATCAGGCAATTAGGCACTGCCTGCCTAATCCCTTTGAAAACCATATTCTCATACTCCGAAACATCAAACACTACCTCCTTCGTGTGACAGTTAACCATTTCTATATGCCTACTCTACCAATCCATCACCAATATGACATCAAATTCGTCAAATGGGAGAAGCATTAGGTTAGCAACTAATTTCCTCTCATTCACAATCACGGGACTATTAGGGTAAACACGACTAATTTTAATAGTGTCTCCTACTGGAGTTCTCACATACACAGTTTCAGTCAAGGGTTCAGATTTTTCATGCAAATTATGAGAAAATGCATGGGAAACGAACGAATGGTGGAGCCTGGATCAATCAAAGCATAGGCAAGAGTATCATGGATAAGTATAGTACTTGTGACAACTTCAAGGGATGCATCCGCTTCACTCCTTTTCATAGAAAATACACGAGGTTGAACCTCTCCTCGTATTGCTGGGTCACTAGCATTACTTCTTCCTTCCATTTTGGCTCCGCCCTCGTCCATTACCTCCTCTGAAACTTCCTCTAGATGCACTGCTAGCCATTCTTGACCCTTGTACCGTAGTTTGGGCCCTAGTAGATATAGTATTGCCCCTGACCAGGCAGTCTCGAATATAGTGCCCCATGTCTCTACATCAAAAACAACCTCCAGCGGCCACCCGACACAAGCCAAAATGGGCCTTCCCACAACGAGGACACACCGAGGGTCGTGGAGCCCCCATCTGGGTATACCCACCTCGGCCTGTACCTGAGTAAGAAAATCTGTCTGTTGTGGCCCCATTCCTCTGTTAAAACTTCCAACAGAAGATTGTCCCGAACTAGTCGAGGTCATACTCTTCCACTTCTTCTTCCTAGGCTCATACATCTTACTTGCTCTCTCACTCAGGCCTTTTCCTCATTTAAGTGTGTCTCCACCCTGATGGCGGCTGCCTTCAGCCTACCAGAGCCCTCCATCTTAAACATAGCTATTATTGACTTGATATCGCCTCTCAAACCTCCTTCAAACCATGCACACTTATCCGGCTCAGTCGGGATTAAATCCCTTGCAAATGTCAGTAAGCGATGAAATTGAGCCTCATACTCACTCACTGTCTGTCCTTCCTGTTGTTTCAGAGTTAGGAACTCTACTTTCTTCTGGTCACAATATACATCTGAAATATATTGAGCTCGAAATGCTGTAGAAACACATCCCAAGAGTGCATGATAGTGTCTTCATGCACTCCGGTAATTGTTAGCCACCAGTCATATGCATCTTCCTTCAGAAAGAACACCCCATAATCAAACTTAACATCATCGGGACACTAAAGCAGATTAAAAACCCTTTCAACCTTCTTTAACCAATCCAGAGCCACTTTTGGATCAACAGTCCCCCTTAAAGGGTTCTGCACCCATTTTTAACACCTCTGGATAGTCCCTTTTATAAGGGACATCTTGGTTACGAGACTCAACATTATTTTCAGCATTAATCTCAGCATCATTCTCCTTCTTGATTGGACTCCACATGAAAATAATAACAACTTCAAATCAGGATCCAGATCCATACTTGACTCGGAATGCAACTTAATTTTACAACAGTGAAAATCCTTTCAAAACCATGCAAGACTCCCTTTTTAAAACCAATTGGTATCCCGTGGGACCATATCCTGGCTCTGATACCACAAATGTAACACACATACATACTTTAAAACCATTCACGAGATCATACTGATTTAAAACCTTTACAATTCCATTTAGTTTACAAACCAAACCATTATTTACATAAACTTTTAAAACTTCAGAACACATGGCAGTAGAGAAGATCATCTTCTCTCAAAATACTATAAACAAGTCATGTCGGAGTCCGAGTTCACCATCACACCTCATTGATGTCGAGCTGAGCCTTGTTGAGTTCCCTTGACTTCTAGTTCAAAACTTCTAATCTGGGGAAATTTTTATGACGGGGTGAGGCGTCACCTCAATGAGTAAAAGCTAACCTACCAACAGTATCAACACACAGATAGTATCTGGTGAAGTCAAACCCCATTCTTGTTTCCTTCCCCCGACATGACCGATCATTCAGATTTACTTTGTTCTTTCATCCTATACAAAAAATTATCACGATTCAGTAACCAATTGAGAACATACACATACACATACACATAAATGGTGTTAGCCTACTTAGGTGTATTTTAGCCTTTAGGTTGCCATTTCATGTACTTCCACAGGTATTTCGCATCTTTTGGCATCCAGTGTCGGGCCGGTCGGACCCTATATCATCTCGCAGCTTTTGACACCATGTGTCGGGCTGGTCGAACCCCATATCACTTCGCTGATTTTGGCATCAAGTGTCGGGCCGGTCAGAACCTATACCACTTCGCAGCTTTTTTTCATCAAGTGCCGAGCCGATCGGACCCTCATATCATACAGTACATAACGGGCCCCTTTTAATTTAATTTAGGTGCTCAGAAAATTCTTTAGTTAGTCAATCAAGCAGTATCATCAATCATGTAACACATCTCCATTCACAAAATCATTACATTCACATAGCCACGTTCATCATTTCATATAAGCATATCATCACCTTATAAACTTCCCATCATCACATTTTCTCCTTACAGGCTTTCCAGTATAACACGATAGCCAGTTATACTATCCCAGTATCATCACATAGCCATTCTAGCTATACTCCCCTCATCGCCTCATAGGCTTTCCAATACTGTAACATTACTTTCCAGGCCCTTTCCATATCACACATACATCACGATTTTCGTGCATAAGCATCATTTATCACGTATCACACATACATCGTCACATAATCATGCACACATCACATTTATTCCTCATCCATCACATATCATTTAATTCACACAGACACAATCGTAGCCAAGTATAAATCTCACATTTCATGTTCCATATTCGGGCCGCTTCTTGACTCGAATACCATATTTGTATCCATACGATGAATAGGTTAGAATTTACTCACTGTTTCATAATCACTCCATTATTCCCTTGCCTTTAGATGACCCCCCCCCCCCAAGCTTGCTTCGTTCCTTGTGAAATTGGTGTCTTTGTTGCTACTTGCTAGTGCTAGCTGTTTACCAGAAACAATGGCGAATAAAATACCAGAAGGAAGGAAAATGATTTGGGTGTATCAGATGAAAAGGGGAAGTTTGGCAAAGATGGTTTCACTTACTTCTCTCCATGACCACTCCTTCTCAGTAGCTCATTCTTCCTATCTGCCCCATTTCTCCTTCAGATAAGATATAGTCCACGTGGAGTTTACTTGAATGGATTGGAAGATATGCCAGGGTACGTGTAAATGGGAGAGAGTAATTACATAGGTCAATGACACATTTTCCCTTATTTAATACCTAGGCTAGCTAGTCCACCTGCAGAACTAAAGGAGGTAACTAAATCATGCATTTAGAAGTTCATAAACTTAACAATTCCATTCTAATTGCCAGTGCTGTCAAAGCCGAGCCGCCAAAACCGCCACCCAGGCGTAAAACCAGCTCAACTCATCTATTTAGCCGGAGTGGTTATTTGGGGTGGTCGGCGAGCGGCCAAACCGGTTAACCACTCGAGCCGCTCGTCCAGCTTTTAACATTTGGGGCGGTTGCTTTACTTTAAAAAAAAAAGGAAAAACTAAAACTAAAAAATGAAAATGAAACGGGAGGCTGCTGAAAACGTGAACCCTAATTATTTCCTCTTCGCGTAGACACGAAGGAGAAGCAGCTTCCTCTACACTCCGCAGCCTTCGTCCAAAATCCACTCCATGTCGCTATTCCCCGTCGTCGTTCCCCGTCGCCATCGCTCGATACCATCGCCCGTCGCCTGTGGCCACTCCCTCGTCGCCTGTGGCCATCCTCGTCGACTCGTTCCCCGCTCCTGCCGGCGAGCGCAACGAACGGCGAACCCGGTGAGGTCTCCCTTCTCCCTTCTCTGGTCACGGATGCCTCTCCCCTGCATCGACCCCTGCTGCCTCTCCCCTGAAACAACCACTCTTGCCCTCCCCTTCAATTTCTCGACACATACACCAAGAGAAATTCTTGTGGTAAATCTACAGATGCTTTGACCTTAATTTCTGACACGGGGTCATCCCACTCACCAAAACACCAATTTCATATAAGACATTCAGTAATCTTCAATCCTTTGTGGAATTGAGAAAATTCGCCACACAAATAAAAAGCAATATGTGAAACAAGGAGAAGCATAAAGTTTGTAATGGTTTGTTTGTGTTGTTGTCGTGAGCTTTCCCTGTCCCATTTAGCAAATTTTTTTGTTCACTTGTTTACTCGATTGAGTTATTTAGAAGTTTCATAATGGTAGCGTTAGATTTTCCAAATTAAATTTGTTGATTCGATGTTTCTTTTGTATATGAGTACTCCAAATCCAGATAGTGGTACTCAATCAACAACACCGAGCTCTACTGCTTCAACTGGGCAAGCTGGTCGAGGAAAGAATGATCCTGCTTGGAATTACATTCAAGAAATCAAAGAGGATAATGGGAAGGTGCAGGCACTCAAATGCATGCTATGTGGAATTGAGAAAGGGGGGGCGGGGAATTCATCGGATGAAAGAGCATCTTGCTCATTCTTTAAAAGGGAATATTGTGTGAAATGCTCAAAAGTTCCCTATGATGTGCGTCTGAGATTTGCAAATATTCTTAAAGAATATGATGAAAAGAAAGAAGGGAAGAAGAAATCTAATGATCTTATCATTGGTGACAAAGAGGATGATGTGGTTGAGTTAGTGAGATCACACGCAACTAAAAATGTTAGTGACTTGATGAAGAAAGCTAAGGGAGCTGACTTTTTTGCTCCAAGAACCACTCATGGGTCGCAACCAAGCATCAAAAGTGCAATGGCTACTAAGGATGAAATTCATAGAGCTCATATGATTTGTGCAGAATTCTTCTATGAGAATTGCATACCTTTTAATGCAGCTAACTCAGATAGTTGGCAGAGGATGTTTGATGCTGCAATGGCTATTGGTCCAGGATTTAAGGTACCATCATATCATGATTATGGGTGCCTTTACTACTTGATTGGAAGAGAGAAACCCAGCTAATTGTTGATCAACACAGAGCCGTTTGGGATCAGCGTGGGTGTACTTTAATGGCTGACTGTTGGACTGATCAACAAGGTAGAAGCTTGGTCAATCTATTGGTCTATTGTAGTAGATGTCTTTGTTTTCTTAAATCTATTGATGCAATAAAGGTTGTGAAGAATGCAAAGAACCTTTTCAAGATATTTGATGAAGCAATTCAGTGGATTGGCGTGGGCAATGTTGTTCATGTGGTCACTGATAATACAACTAAATACAAGTCATGTGGTCAGATTATTCATAAGACTTATCCACATATTCATTGGTCTCCATGTGCAACTCATTGCATGAATTTGATATTGGGTGATTTTGGAGATTTGGAGAATGTGAAGGATGTCATTCAAAAGGCTAGAAGAGTCACTGTGTTTGTTTATAATCATTCTCCTGTGATTAATTGGTTGAAAGCAAGGCCAAATTGGAAGCAAATAGTGAGACCTGGTGCAACTCGCTTTGCTACTAATTTCCTCTCCATGGAGAGTGTGTATGAGCACAAGGTTGATTTACAAGCTTTAGCAGTGAGTGAGTTCTTTAATGCAGATGAATCATCTAAGACTGCAAAAGGAAAGGCGGTGAGTGCTATATTGTTAGATGCTTAGTTTTGGGGTGATTGTTTGGAGATGGTAAATGTGGCTCAACCAGTCATGAAGTTGCTGAAGCTTCTGGATTCAGATGAGAAGCCCACTCTTGCTAGGAAAGAGGTATGTGATGAATAACAAATATGTTTGATTTGAGTACAAAATATTTTTGCTATGAAATAGTGACATATTTGACTTGTATTTAATCATTTATAGGTCTGGTACTAGAAAAAGTAAGTTATTGGTTGATCCATTTGACTATGAATGGATTAATGCCACTGAATTTTGGTTATGGATGAGGAAGAGGATCCAACTCCAGATCTTAGCTTTATGAGTTGATGCAAGCTATGGGTGATAATAATGCTAATGACATTTCTGAAGGAAGTGGAATTACAAGCAGGAAAAGAGGTCGCAATGAAGGTTGGATTGACATATTATTAGTAAATGAAGAATTTTCAACTTTTATATATTTTTAACACTTGATTTCTAACATAGTTTTCTTTACTTATTAGATGATGATGGAGATGATGGTAGCACAACAATTGGGGTGGCGTCTTCAAGCAGTGATTCATCTGATGCTAGTGATGGTGAATGAAATGATGTTGAAGTTGTATTTGATAGTTGTTTGAGTTTGAGACTTTGAGTGGTTTCCATGTTTGAGACTCTTGTTTCATGTTCATACTCATGTGATATTGCTTTTATTTTGGAACAATGTGGTGGTTTGGAATTGAATTTTAGATCTTTTTGTACTGATGTTCTAGAATGGTTTAAGAGAGTAATTTACTTGTGGTTTACCATGATTAAGAAGTGTCCACTATTTATACAGATGACTGTTTATTAGGTACCGGTTCTCAAACGGGTTTTAAATGGTTTAATGCCAGCTGGACCACTAAAGACGGAGTCGTTCACGTTACCGGGTCATACTCCGGTTCGGTTCTGACAACATTGCTAATTGCTGACCTAGCACTTACGAAACTAATGATCCCCAAAGTCATGCATCTTCGTAGTTTAATTCTCATTCATGGTATGATATGAGGTGGTTTCTCTAGTGGATTTTTGCCCTATCAGTTTGTGCAGGGTTTTATATAAAATCCTTTCAAAGGTCCTCGCCAACAAAACTAAAGGAATCTTAAATGAGGTCATTACAGAACATCAAAGCGCTTTTGTTCCAGGAAGTCTGATTACAAACAATGTAATGATCACATTTGAGTGTTTCCATTCTTTGAAGTGTAGAAACCAAGGAAGGAAAGGGTTTATGTCAGCTAAACTAGACATTTCTAAAGCGTATGACAGGGTTGAGTGGTCTTTTTTTTTAGGCCGTAATGAGGAAGCTGGGTTTCGATGACAGATGGATTGCAATGATCATGACTTGTGTATCGACAGTATCTTATTCAATACTAGTCAATAAACATAAAACGGAAACCTTTTTCCCATCAAGAGGGCTTAGAAAAGGAGATCCCATATATCACCCTATCTATTTCTCTTTGTAGTAGAAGGGTTATCAACACTACTTTCAAAGGCTGAGAGGGATAAGAAGATTAAAGGAATACGAGTCAAAGGGGACGCTACGCCATATCTCATGTACTATTTGCATATGATAGTGTGTTGTTCTATAGGGCAACACAGTCAGAATGTGAAGAACTACGCAACATTTTTAAGCTCTACGAAGAGGGATCATGACAAAAGGTAAACCTAGTTAAGTCTGAAATAGCCCTAATGTAGATGAAGCTTTGAGGCAGGAATTGGTGGATGTTATGGGGATGAAAGTAGTATAGTACCATGCAAAATATTTGGGTTTACCTACGATCATGGGAAGGCAGAAGAAGGCTATATTTTGCTACTTAGTGGATAGAATTCGCAAGAAAGTGAAATTATGGAAAAGCAAGATATTATCTTATGGAGGCAAGGAAGTAATGATTAAAGCAGTGGTTCAAGCTCAAATGACCTATGTTATGCAAGTCTTCCTGGTACCACAAAATTACTGAGGTAAAAAACTTGTTATCTAATTTCTCGTGGGGTAAAAGAGGCTAAAGTTTAGAACAGACTGGATAAGTTGGAAGGAGCTATGCAGATCAAAGGAAAAAGGTGGGCTGGGATTCAAAAATCTGCACGAATTCAACCTAGCCCAACTTGGCAAGCATCTTTGGAAGATAATCCATAACCCTATGTCCCTGGTTGCACGAATGTTCAAGGCTAAATATCACCCTAACAAAGACTTACTAGAGGCTGAACTGGGACACAATCCAAGTTATGTGTGGCGAAGTATTCTTGCTGCTAAAGAAATCCTGAAGGAAGGTCTTAGATGGAGAATCGAGAATGGGATTAAGGTGGATATCTGGATTGATAAATGGGTTCCCACTTCCTCTACACTAAAGGTCTTATCCCCCAGTGACACAATTCGCACAAACCACCTCAGTTAGCGAACTCATAGATGCAGAGACAAAAGTTGGAAAACAGCCATTCTACGGACTCATTTTCATCCACAGGACAGGCAACACATTTTCCGTACGTCTATTCCTTGAATCCCTACTGAAGACTGCAGAATTTGGAGTCATGAGAAATCGAGCATTTATTTTGTGAAGTCGTCCTACCATCTTTGGCTCAATATACAGGAATGGGAACTGGGTGAACTCTATACCCCTATCAATTGGAAACGATTCTGGAACCTCTCCATCCCACCGAAAGTGAAAGTGTTTGGTTGGAAATGGATTTACAATATTCTCCCTAGTCCCTATAGGGGCAAACGTCTTGGATAGAACTCAGAAAGGGTGTAGCGAATGCCCGTCTTGTGGACAGATGGACACCCATATACATTTATTTCAAGATTGTGGATGGGTTCGTCGATTCTGGCATCCTAGTTTGCTAAACCACCTATTCGAGAAGGGATTAGATCTTACCTGTGAAGAATGGATGGTATCGCTGCAAGAATCGGAGCCTGATGATGCAATCGATCAATTTCTGGTGGCCCTTTGGTTTATCTGGAATGAGAGAAATAGCCAGATGTGAATAAGAAGAAGATGGAAGAGTACGAGATAATCAATCGAGCAAACAAATGGCTTTTGGAGTACCTGCAACACCAATCCCCTTCGGCGTCGTCTCTGACAAGACCATCTCCGCGTTGGGAACCGCCGAATTGTGCAAATTTCAAGCTAAATGTCGATGTTGCCTGTTTGGATGGAGAAGGAACAGGTTTCGGGGTGGTGTTGAGGTACAAAAGCAGGAATTTTTGCTTTGCAACAGTTCAAAGAACTAGGGTTCAATGGAAACCCGAAATGGCAGAGATTAAGGTGATCTGGTTTGGGATCAAAATGGCGGAGAAATGGGGTTTGTTGGAAGGTGAGGTCGAGACAGACTCCCTCCGGGTTGTTCAACAGGTGGCAAAGGAAGAAACTGGAATAACCAGTGTTATTAAAGTCGAGCCGAGCCGCTCGACCCGACTGGTAAAACCGCCACCCGGTCACAAAACCGGCTCGGAACAGTCTAAAAGTCGCTCGGTTTTATGTAGCGGTTGGCGAGCGGCCGAGGCGGTTAACCATTCGAGCCAATCGAGCCGCTCGTCCGGTTTTTGCCATTCAACCACTAAATTTAATTAAAGAAATTGTAGAAAATTGAAAATTGAAATTAACCAAAAACGTTGGGCTCTCAAATTGAATCCTTATTTCCATTTCACAATTTCGAAGGAAAGAGATGAGCTCTGATTAAGAAATGTCCACTATTTATACTGATAACGTTTATTAGATACCGGTTCTCTAACGGTTTTTAAACGGTCTAATGCCGGTTGGACCGCTAAAGTGCGAGCCGTTCGCATTACCGGGTCATGTTCCGGTTCGGTTCTGACAACATTGGGAATAACAGAGCAAGGGGTGGCATGTGGCGAGCTAGCAGAGCATCTGAAAGAATTGGGCTCTTTTACTATTAGGTTCTCGGGCTGAACCAGCAACCAAGTAGCCCACATTTTGGCCCACACTTAATGTAATTTGGAGGATACTGAAATCTGGCAATCCAGGCCCCCTATATTAATAGTTTCTCAGTTAAAAACTGATTCCTTTACTATTTCATATTAATGGAATAATACATATTATTTATATAAAAAAGGGTAAATACTATTTTTTACCCAAACCTTTTTGACAATCTCAAATATTAGTTAAACCTTTGAAAATACAAAATAATAGCCAAACATTAAATCTCTGTTAACATTTTCGTTAAAAGATGGTGAGGTGGCAGATGTGACGCTAATGTGGAATAAATATCATGACATGGCATTCAAAAAAATATCACATCATCCTTTGTTCAACAAAAATAAAATGAAAAGAAGCGAACAACAACTGGCTGAAATTGAAGGGTGCTTCCTCACCCGCTCTTTCTCATCCTTCTGCCTTCGCCTCTGCCTCCCGCGATACCCACCCCACCACCACTTCGCATCATCGGAAGCTACTGCCTCACCACTGCCTCTGCTCAACAAAATCGGATCCACATTTAACGAAATTTTGTCCAAGCATCAGTGTTGGCGCCCTCTCCCGCCTGCTGCTGCCATTGTGATGTTAGCCGGAGTGTTGTCGCTGCAGTGAAGCATGGTCAAGCTTGGGTGTGCGGCGGGGCCGGCCGCCGTGACTCTGATGACGGCGTGCTAGCTTTTGGACTCCTTTTTGCATAGTTCCGTCCAATTGAATATGGGGTTAAGGATTCAAAATTGAAATTTGTGGGATATGGGGATTTTCAGTTTAGGGATTATGTGGGATTTCATATAATGGTGATTGGTGGTGGTGGAGGGAGTAAGAAGAAATAGGTCAATGGATATGGGAGGCGACTGATTCAATTAATTGGGGCTTTGCTACTGCATTGCTCAGGTTACCTTTCAAAGGAGGAGGCAGAAGAAGGGGAACCCAGGAGGAGGAAGATGAAGCATGTTGAATTTTGGCCACGTCATCAATTGATATAGTGTTGATGTGTCGACCACGTGGATTGACAATTAGCTTACGTGTAATTCTGTTATGCTTAACCTTAACTTTAACGGAAGACAGTTATAATTTTGAAGCGTTATAAAAGATATGACTAATATTTAGTATTTCGAAAGATTTGGCTAATATTCTAGAATCCATAAAAAATTTGGTTAAAAAAAAGTATTTACCAAAAGAAAAGAAGAAGAGATGGGATCTAACCAACTGGGAATCCGAACGGGGCCCAACAGCAGCCGGATACGGATGAGCCCATTAACACAAAATATGCAAAGGTTAAATTAAAGCCCAACCCATCAGTAACAACCTGGAAAGTTGGTTTTTTTTTTTTTTTGGAAAGTTGGTTTTTATTGGAAAAATGATAGCGATTTACATTAGGGATTTGGATATGGAGCACTTCTACTATGCTATATAGCATTGGTGCTTTAATGTACAACTCAAAGTTGTACCATAACATTAAATGTATAAGTTTAGGTTGTACCATAAAGCAATTTGTACCATTATGTTATGGTACAACTTTACAATTTGAAATTGTACCATCACTTAAAGGTACAAGTTCAAGTTGTACCATAAAAGAATTTGTACAAAAAGTATAGGTACAATACTTCGTTGGGTAGATAGGCTTCGTCTTCTATTGAGCTTGATTCTATTGTACTCTGTTAGTGCTGTCCCGGAAATTACTAATTTAATTGATTTCCTACATTCTTGTGCTCATTTGTTAATGACAGATTTTCTCATGTACTATTTTGTCAAGCCATTTCAGGCACCTTCGCAATGGCATCTGCAAAAGTTGATGAGGTACCAGCTGCTCTTCGTGCTCTTAAGGCTGTGATTTCGGATGAACTTTCTGCAGTTGTAGAGCCAATCATCCGACTTCAACATGTTCCTGATCTCGTCGTGCGTGCAGTGGCTTTCTATCAGCGTCAGCTGTTACAAAAGCTTCAACTTCTTGATTCTGGAATTGTGGCCAATGATGTTAAACTGGTTTCCCGTTTTCCAGGAATTGACCGCGGAAGTGTGTTATTAGCTTGAGTGTTTGCTAAAAGAAACACCTGAATAATTATGGTCTCTTTTTGCTATTGTTTATTTGTTTAATTGTTCAGTGGTTATTGTTAATGCAGGTGTTGCTTTCAAATCCGAGTGCAACGAGGTTTCTCACTTTCTAATAGATTATCATCATGATGACGCGACCTATAGAGCAATGTCTTTATATCGCGTACACTTGATGCAAGCAGTGAGAGGATTTAAAACTGAAGTCGGGGCAAGTGATAAGCAGCTAAGTGGAACTGCTGCACAAACCATTCAAGGTAAATAGGTTACCCCTGTTTTGTTCATGCATTTGGATACACTTATGACTCTTGTTTAGTAGTCCTAAATGTTGGTTTTTTAGGCAGATTTGCTCAGCCAACTGCACTTCAGAATGCTGCTCTTAATGCTGCTGCTGATGCTCAAGGTGAATGATTCATGATGTTTAGTGTTGCATTATGTTTTGATAAAAAACTTCATGTATTATTCTAATTTCTTACCTTTGTGTATTAGTCTAGGTGCTAGTGCATAGTTGGTGGTGTCGCAGAATGCTCATCCGGGTGCATCTGTGGATGGAGTTCGGAATCCTATTCTGATGCAGTATGCTTCTTTGAATGTTGCTGTTTGCTGGAAGTGTGAATCTAAACGGGTTAGAGTAGTAGCAGTCGCAACCTGTAGAGCATATGATAGGGCAGTAGGGCACAGTTCAGTTCAGCCCTCTGGTATGCATATATATGTAACCTGTATTGAGGGAGCCGTAACTTAAGGAATAAGATCTTTAGCTCTGAGAGTCAGAACTTCCACATGGACTGACCCCAACCCTTTCAGAATCCCTTCTACATTGGGACCTGTGGTTCTTATCTCCTGGATCAAGAGAGAACTAGAAGAGTTATGGGAAGGAAGTGTTTCTAACCCTACTGATAAAGCTCGCCAAATAGAAGCTTGATATGAAGCTGAGCAAGCAAGAGGCTTGATTAAGGAAGGGAAAATGCAAATGCTGTAAATTCAGTTTCAGATTACTATCCTTTGAAAAATACTCAACATGGATATAGAAATGAATGAATGATTTATGTTGTTCTAACCTTGAGACTCATGCAAAAGACCAAGTAGGGATGATTCAAGTGGAAAGAGATCAATCGAGTCATTGGATTGGATGAGACGGTAGCACCTATCTCGCTTTCCACCCACCCGTTGGCTGACTTCTGAACTTGTCAAAACAGCCTTTGTGAGTATAGGTGTCAATCGGGCGGGTTCGGGCTGGGTTCAATCGGGTTCGGGTTGAGTTGCGGGTTAGTCGGGTTGCGGGTTCATCGGGTTCGGGTTCAAACGGGTTGTGGGTTATTCGGGTTGCGGGTTCATCGGGTTCGGGTTGCGGGCAAATCGAGTTGTGGGTTCATCGGGTTTTGGGTCGGGCGGGTTGCGGGCGGGTCGGGTTTCGGGTTGTTCGGGCCAGCACATAAAGTAACTTAACTCATTACTCATTACCAACTTACACATTTTATTACACTAATTTAAAATATTTTCTCAACTTTTTAACCAATTTATTTCTACCTCGTATATATATACTTTATTTTTTTGACAAAAACTAGTCAAAATGTTAAATCAATTTGTATGACTTGCAAACTTGTTATGTAATTAATCATAATTGGTAAAGTATTATAGCTAATAGTAATGGTGATATCAATATTTGCAACCAAAAGACACCGTTAATTGTTTATTTGATATTTTAGTATTAATTCAGTAGTAATTGGATTAAAGTATCTCGTTTAGTATAACCATGCAAATCTAGTATTTGGAGTGTGGTATTTGGCAAAAGCATAGTGATAAAATGAGTTATTTCAAAATAACTCATTGCCCAAATAACTTCAGTAAACTGTTGCCAAACGAGTTATTTGTAAAATTGTTCGAATTATCCTAAAAATTGAACCATTAAAGATTAGCTATCAAATTTAGTAAAATTATTGTGACTTCAATCATAACTTACTCAATAGCATATATCCTATACACTTAGCCTTACCCTCAATCAACAATATTAAGTTAGTATATGTTGTTGATTGTATACCCTAAACCATCAATACATTATACACTAACCACATAACCTATACCCTAACCATATGCCCTTGAGTTGTGATTTTGCTAGTATAGTTAATTTAAAAGTGAAATTCATACTTTGATTTTCAAAACATAGATAAAAAGTGATATTTGCTAATTGTTATACCCTAACCATATATCCTATACTTTACACCACATACCTTATACCCTAACCACATACCATAAACATAAATTAAAAAGGGATCTCCTGCCGTTAAAGACTTCAAATGACTTCAAGTGAACATATGTTAATAAAAAACTTAGAACCGTCAAAACCATCGATATCTTATACCCTAACCATATACACCCTAAACCATATGTACCTTATACCTTATACCCTAACCATATATTTTATATCCTAAACAACGAACCGTCAAAGATTACTTATCAAGTTTAGTATAAATTGTTGTAACTAATGGTTAATTTATTTATTAGCCCATAAACAATTACATACATATATACATATTAGCCTTCAAAGCATATAAGAATAATTTTAACTAGTCATGCCCTCCATATAAAAGTTAAAGATTCATATTTCAAAAGCTAAAATTATGAAAAACCAAAAAATTGAAAACACCAAATTTGTTTCCCTCTTTCTTTTCACAAAAATACTAAAATTTCCCTCCTTCTTTCTCCTTCCATACATTAGAAAAACTCAATTTTCACTCCTCTTTCTCTTCCATAAAATTGAAAGAACCAAATTACCCTCTTCTTTCCTTCTACAAAAAGTTGAAAAGTCAAAAGTTTTCCTCCTTATTTCTCTTTCATAATCAAAAGAATCAAACTTTCCCACTTCTTTCTCTTCCCACATATCAAAACCACCAAAATTCCCACTTGTTTCTTTCTAAAAAATTCAAAGAACCAAATTTCTCTCTTCTTTCTCTTCCCAAAAACTTGAATACACCAAAATTTCCCTCTTCTTTTAAAAACATCAAATTACCAAATACATTACTTTACTTTATTTATATTTAATTGATAATTTTATTGAATAGTTAAATTAACCAAAATTTTAATTTATATATTATATTAATATTTTCATGATCTCAAGTGACCTTCATGTTTCCATTTTTGTAAGTTTCTTAAAATTCGTAATATCAAGTGAGTTTCATATTTTTTAAATTTCTTATACGAAATGAAAAAATAATTTTACTTAAGTTTAGAATGAAAAACTTTATTTTGAAAAACTATGTATTGTATATTTTTATAATTATTCAACTGGATTAGATGAAATTCGGGTTGAGTCGGTCGTGTTACGGGTTAGTCGGGTTCGGGTCAATCGGGTTCGGGTTAATCGGGTTGCGGGTCAGTCAGGTTGCGGGTTAGTTGGATTGCGGGTCAATCGGGTTGCGGGTAGGGCGGGTTACGGGTTGTTAACTTTTAGTCAATTCGGGTTGCGGTCGGGTTGCGGGTCGGGTTGATCGGGCGGGTTAATCGGGTCGGGCTATGTTTTGACACCTATATTTGTGAGCATGTATGAGACGGTAGGGTTGGAACTGTACGTGGCATCGGGTCGTGCCGTTCACGGGCTAGCACAGCACGGTTAGAGCACGGCACGAGCACGGGCACGAAATAAATGGGTCAGCCGGGCACGAGCACGAATAATTTATGGGCCGTGTCGGGCCTAAACTTCATGGGCACGGGCACGGCACGGTATATAAGTGGGCCGTGTCGGGCCTAATATTTTTGAGACTTTATTGAGTAAAAGAACGGACATGGTACCAAAATAATATTTATTTGATAGAAAATATATATGAAAAGAATTATAGGTTCAAATATTACAAAACACAAGTAGAAAAATAATTATTTATTGTTGTTAGAAGTGTCATAAAGATATATACGAAATTATTAACATAAGTAAAATGGACAAAGAATTAAACAAAGCCAAATCACACTCGCTATACTTCCAATTTTCTTTTCCCGCTTATTTGTTACTTTTCTCAAACATTATCGGTTAATATTATCTTCCCCGTCCAATTTTCACCTTCTTTTTCATTCCCTCTATTGTTTTCGTCATTTTCATTAAACACGAATACGAGCATGGCACGAGCACGAATAGGCACGACACGATTCGAACCGTGCCCGGGCCTGGGCCGGGCCTAGCAAAATTAACAAATGGGCTTGCATGGCATGGCACGGCACGAAAACTGACGAGTCGTGCCAGGCACGACACGAAATAAATGGGCCCGAAGCGTGCCCGTGCCGTGCCGGCCCAAGCACGGCCCAGCGCCCATGTACAATTGGAACTCTCATAGTCGGCTTGCATTTCTTCATAATTTTCTTAGTTCTGTGCATTAATACTGTAGAAGTGAGGAAGCAAATTTAATGGAAGTGAAGGCTTAGCTTGTCTCCTATAATACAATATTGTTTTCCTCAAACAACGTTGAATTTATTATAAAATAGAACATTCAATCGAGTCATTGTTAGTATGCACTTGATTATCTTTCTTTCATATTCGACATAGTTAGTCTCGTATGAGTGTATCATATTGAAACGATTTTGTTATTATGTTGGTAGTTATTTAAATAAATGTTGTTTTTCTTTCCACAAAAATCAAATTAATGAATGGTTTTAAGTAGTTGGAAACAATGTAGCATTCTCTTTGAGAAATCATGAATGAAAATGCATGGGTCATTTGGCAACCATATATTCTACTCCTTAATTTTCAGAATACATGGTTCTTTTCATGTTGCACGAAGTTAGGATAAAATATTTTGGGTATCACTTAAATAAGAATAAAGCATCGCATGCCACTGAACTCTATTATATGTGCACCCAGTATCACTTAAGTTTTCTGCTATGTGCACCCATTTGAAGACTAATACCAAACCAATTTTTGAATAAAAATTTAGAACCAATTATCATTATGTGTTCTAATAATTGAATTATTCCCTGAATCAAATATATCATATGAATTCTATTTAGCTGGAATCCTCTTTTGAAGACTGTGATACCAAGTCAATTTTTGAATAGAAATTTAGCATTAATTATCATTATAAGTATTTTCAATAATCAATATCTTTTCTAATTATTGAATTATTCTCTGAAGCAATTTTATCCTGTGAATTCTGTCTCGATATAAATAATTTGATGGTGTTATATTTAGTTCTCTTACATCATGTTGATGTTGTCTAATTTACTACGTTAAATTTTCTTGTACTTCTCTAATATTATATTGTAGATGTTCCATATCAGTCAAATTTACTAATTCAAATTCTCTTCCTATAGTCATATTTTCTTTTCTAGATTTGTAACTGAATGTTGTAGATTCGTTCTAAATTTTTTCAATTATTGAAATATATTTTATTCTTTCTTATTGTGTTCCATTTATCATTTTTTGTTTTGATATACTGATGGTCGATTAGGTTCTATTTTAAATGTTTTAGTTGGGCTTCTAACCGGATTAGAGGTTTAACTATAACTTCTAATATTGATTTTAACTATTTATTATTATCTTCAAGTGTATTTATTATTCTTTCTTAATATTCGTTTATTATTTTTCCTAATTTATCTATTTTTGTGAAAGATTTTTATTAGTCATTCTAGTAATG